GACACTGTTCTTACCGATGGTACCCTCCAAGGTAAAATCCGCTGATTACTGTCGTACCAGTCTAGAAGTTTTGAGCGGATCGCAATGGTCTCGTCGGTAGTGTATTGGTGGAACTGTGCATCGTGCTTTATTGTCTTCTTGTACGCGTCTATATTCACAAATGATTGCGGGTGCGTAAAGGTCATACTCTTAGCTCAATTTACGCATACCAATACATGCGAGTACATTTCAGTATGCCGTGTGAAGGGCGTTGCACCAGTATTGCGCAGATACGACTCAGAGATCTGTAAAGACATATATGACGACACCTCAGAACCATGACAGTGAATGGATGATTCCAAAGCAGTGTATAGAAGACCCCTAAACTACTAAAACCTATAGCACGACAACTGAGAACCGTCACAGTGAATGAATAGTTTTAAAGCTGCACATAGAAAAACTATAAAACTCTAAACCCTAAAGAACGACAATTGAGATCCTTCACAGTAAATGAATATTTTCACAGCAATGTATAGAAACTTATCTATGCGTGGCCGGGTGGGAAGTCGGGTGGAAGAACTTCTTGACTAGTTGGTACGCTCTGTATGATTTTGTTTTTTTTTGAAAAGTATTTTTCCTATGCGACTTAAGCGGGTCTCCGTATGCGTACGTACATAACAATTGATGCGTAAATGTTAAGGCGTGCGTTTAAATATAGAACATCACGTATGGGGTACCCATACATGTAAGCCCAGACATTCGAATGTACATCTAAAATTAAAGGGCTTATGCGCTAGGACACATCCTCCTGCACGTGAGAAACAGAAAGCATCTCGATGCCACATATGCGCTTCCTACCCTACCCATCATACGTCTAATCCAAAAACGAATAGCTAGTCCAAATTGATATCTGCCATGTGCGTTTGTAAGTGTATACACATATTGCATCGGTACTTGTGCAGACGCCTGTGCCATCCATATAGAGCGATGTAGCATAACCCACGGCCCTCAATGCGTGAGGGCCAACGAGCATGATAATTCAGGATTCAAGGAACATGTTTCTTATGGGCAGTGGGGGATACAGACTAACACTGTGAACTCTGACGTATGTATGACCGAGCGACCGGTGGTAGAGCTGGGGGTATCAGTTGATAAGTATACGATAACTCGTACCTTTACACTCGGGCGCCTAGAAGTACCAGAGATCGTATAGGCGGGTGGCAGTCAGTGGTGTTGAAATAGAAGCACAAACATACAGGAACAATACATCGACAGGTGTTTCAAAACAGGAGACTATAAATTTTTGCACTCCAAAATGTTCATTCACTGTTTATTTCTCGTCTCATTTACTCCACAAGGTTATGTACAAACATTGAACAACATCAATAACAAACATTGAGGATATGATAGCCCAAACCTCTTAACTAGCATGGATGAATACCTCAATAAATACGTGCCGCCACTTCGAATACACTGAATCAATATAGATGCGCAGGTCAATCGACACAGCAAATATATTGAAGTTTTCGATGAATATATATATATATATATATATATATGATTGTGTGATTGTGTGAGTGTGTGTGGGTGTGAGTGTGTGTGGGTGTGAGTAGGTTTGCGTGTGTGTGTATGTTTGTGGTCTATGTGTCTGTGTGCGTGTATGCGTACACACACACACATATATATATATATATATATATATATTGCGATATCCCTGTAGTAGGAGTGGTTTACCAATTTGCTATTACGGGGATATCACAAAACTCGAGTGCCCTTGTCCCAGGACTCATTAGCGCTGCCACAACACGCTATCACAGAATACTTTCGAAAATCGGAAAATCGAACCCATAGATCACAGCTTTGTGATATCCCCGTAGTAGGAGTGGTTGATACTACAGAGATACCCCAATATATAT